CACCACCACCACCTCCCCTCCTCTTTCTGTCTCTCCACCTCTGCACTAACCCTCAGGTGAAGAGCAGCAGGTGTTAAAACACCCTCAGCCACAGAGCTACTCACTCCTAATGAGCCCTGCCTCCGCGCTCCATCCATGCATGGAGGACTTTATTTTTAGTGTGGCTAGTTAGAGCCCTGCTGCCATGCTTCAGGAAGGACCGCTGTGGCCTGCGCTGCCCTCCTGCCAGCGAGCCAGGAGTCAAATTATAAATTAAAGTGGTAATATTATCACGCGCCCGCTCATCCTAATGACACCGAGAATGGCTTGAGAAAATCCCCCCTAATAAATAGTAAATCCTTTAAGTTGCAAGCAAATCAACACTTTGTAAATGATTGATTTTGCAGAAGGCATCAATAAAATGAATATGATTTATGCAGCATAAGTCTGATCAGCCCTAAATCACATTTACTTCAACAAAAAGCCTGTAATTATTAGGCCCTATTGCCACTATTAGTAGTACACTCGTGGTATTATTTTACAATTTTCTGCAAATTCTGCCTCTATTCTGTTAATGGTTTTGCTCACAGCCGCGTGCCAGTTTGCAGATACTATAATCGTGGGAAAATAATGACAGTTATCAGTCGCACCCACCAAGTACCCATAAAAATCTGTCCTCTGTTCTGGAAGATGATAATTATTGGTTGTACTACCATTATCATTGTCGTTGTTGATAGAGGAAATCTTGAAGCATTTTTCGAAAGTAATTCCAGAGAAATCACTTCAAATTGGCCTATTTTAGGGGGGACAAGGGACCAGCTTTCGTTATAGCCTAATATTGCACAGAAATCTTTAAATCCAGGCATCCGCAGCCGCCTGGCACACTGTGGCACACGTGCCGTGATGTCAGCGCCTGCATTTTGATAACACATTTTGCAACTTGCTAGTTCTGTTTTGAGTTCAATTATGTAATTACACTGATAATCACAGTGACGGAATTTAACTGCCTTTAATTTGTTATTCAGGTGGAGACGGAGGGACTGCGGATGGAGCAGCCGGGCTGTGTCTCTGCACCGCACAGACACCAGAGCAAGAGCTGCAGCCTGCAAATGAATCCTAAAAAAATGAAGACCTGCTGGATACTTTCTCCTGCTTCTTCTTCTTTCACCAAGTGCACCCTGCGGAGGCTCTCTGACCTCGGATGGCGCCGATTTATCTGCTTCTTTTCCGTCACATGATTTTTAAAGTAAGTGGACAGCTGATGATTGGAATTAAGATTTCTTTTTTAAATATATATATATATATAAATATAACCTGGATAAACTCTGCTTACAGGCTGCAGCAGTGGTCCTGTTTCAGCTTTGAGATGAGGAGGTCTAAACCTGCAGCACAAGAAGAAAAAAAAAGTCTCCTATGTTTAGTCAGTCGTCAGTTCAATTAAATCAAATGTCCATGGATAATTATTCTTGTTAGGCTGTGGGAGGCGGCCCGCTCCCCCATCCTCACTCATAGATTCATGCTAATCAAAGGTGCCAGTGTTTAACAAAACTGTGACCATTAATTGATTGCGATAGAAGGCGCGTAAAGTCGTTTGGAAAGCATTTAAATGTGATAAGAAAATAGGCCCGTGTGCATTCATGGCTGTGTTATACTACAGGCGATAGCTGGCTGGGAGGGAAAATATCCATCCGAGCAAGAAAATATAACCAACAATTTCCCACGATTATGTATCTGTATTGTGTTGTTTTTATTTATTATGAAAGAATCCATCATTAAAACTGTTGCCTCATCGAAGTCCTTTAAAATAGGCTATATATATGTATAGGAGCTCTGTCTCCATTTTCATTTGCCATTTTGTAGACTGCTATGTTGTTGTGTGTTTTTCAGGTGTTATAAAACATCATTAGGGCCTGTACCTGAACCAACAAGCCTCGTTTGACACCAGAGCAGGACTGTTTGATCGTCCCACTGCTGCCAGGTGTAACTGAGACCTCAAGCCACTGTAAGTGTTAAATACATGACTAATTACAGACCTACTTATGAAAATTGAACGGTAGTGTTATGCTAATACATCTTTCTCCAGATAGATCAGGAGCTTCAATTAAAATAAAAACATTTAAAAAATGCTGTAATCAAAGTGGCCAGCAGGGAAGAGCAGCTTTAACGAGGCTGGAAATATTATTTAACGTTATTAAGTGACGTTTAGACGGATATATGACAACCGGTACGTTTAACACAGTGAGACAAACCTGATTTTACTATGTTATCGAGAGCTGTGCTTATATAAATGACCATGTTTCAGTAAATGTTACAGTTTCTGGACAGTGCGGATCAGAAAAAAAGATGTCATCACCCTATATGTTGATTGAATATGATCAATATTTATCTAAAACTGAAGTTATATTTGGATGGATTTTAAATAATAATAATCATCATCATAATACAAATAATAATAATAATAATAATAATAATAATAATAATAATAATAATAATATAGTGAATCTTGACGCGT